TTGTACCCTCTTACTGCTTTTTTTTCTTTCTTTTTTCTCTTTAAATTAAAAAAAAAAAGAGGCTTTATATAAGGAAAAAAAGGCTTCCCTGAAGTGCTGAGGGTAACCCTGATGGCTGCCCATCTTCCTGCCATTTGGGGGAGGCCTGGGCCTGGCTTGAGGGTCTGAAAGCTGAGCCAGCTCCAACTTTGCAGAATAAGCCAGGCCCAGCTCTGTGTCCCTTTGGGGCATGAAGTGTGGAGTGGAAGGGCAGGACCATGTCGTTCATCAAGGGAAGATAAGGAGGGTGTGTGGCAGGGTTTGAGTTCCCTCACTGCAACAAATTTCTGAGTGGAACAGTTTATAAGAAAGAAAGTTATTTTGGCTGATGTTTCAAGGTTTCAGTTCACAATTGGCTCTGTTGCTTTGGGCCTGGGTGCGTGTATGGCAGGGAGAGGAGAAGGTTGGGGTCCCATCATCCCCTTGGAGGGCAGGCCCCATGCTCACTTGGAGGGGAGGGGGTGAGCAGGGTTAAGCAGTAGGGGGTCTTGGCTATCCATCTGATCAATCAACAAACCCTATCACAGCCTCGAAGCCTCGGCCAACCCTCAAGAGGTGACCAAGACATTGGTTCCCAGGATTGTCATAACTGGGCATCAGTTCATGTGTCTTTGCCTCCCTCACCTATGGGATAGAACCTCAATCCCTCTGACTGGTGGGGTCCCATCTCCTCACTGTCCTTGGGAGAGGCAGGGTAAAACTGAGGTCAGGGCGGCCAGGAATTCCAGAGTCCATGCTGTGGCTGGCAGCATGGCCTTTGGCTCCCTGGTTTGCAGAGGGAGCTTTGGTGGGGAGTCTGTCCTATGCCCCCAGACCCCCAGCCTCCTGTCACAGGCCCTGCTGTCTCTCCCAAGAGCCTGTCTGGGAGGGTGTGTGGAGCGGGCTGCCTGAGCTGGCTTGTGGAATCTCCCTGGCTGCAGAGGCCGGTATGGGTGGTTGATTGCAAAGGGTTCATAGGCTTGGAGGAGGAGCAGCAATTAGCTGCTACGGTGACAGCCGAGACAGGGCTGCTAAATGGGCCCATTAGAGGGCATTAGTGAACTGACTGGGGGTGGGGCTGAGCTAAGACACATCGTCCTTGTCCTCCAGGGCTGGCTTGCTGAGGCTGGGCCTGGAACCTGGGGAGGCTAACCTGGCACATGTCAGGTGGGCCTCAAGGTGAAAGATGCTTTAAAGAGGGGGTGCTCCTTCCTGTATCCACAGCCCTCCATGGGATGTCCACCGGTAGACTCGGAGTCCACTTGCAAAGTGACGCCTGCTCAGCCGGCAGATAATGGCTTTAATGGGGTCTTGCACGGAGAGCACTTAACCCGCTTCCCAGAGCCCTGTCCAGCCATTAGCTCATTAGCTCGGGCCTCTGCGGGCCAGTTCACAGATGGGGGAGGGGAAAGGGCTAAGGAAGAGACATGTTAAAGGTTAAACAGCGAGCTGATGTGAGTAGAATCCCACCAGTGTTTTTATTCATAACCCAACCCATGTGGCCTTGCCCTGGAGATTTTTAAAAGGCACTTGATACTGAGATTGGGTTGTAATGACCACTTCTGTAATCCCAATGTTAGGGTTGGTCCAATGCGAGTGCCTTCTTTTTCTTCCTTTCTTTCTTCCTTCTTTCCTTTCTTTCTTTTTGAAACAAAACTTTGCTGTGTAGCCCAGGCTGGTCTTGAACTCATGGTGACCCTCCTGCCTCAGTTTCCCAAGTGCTGGGATTACAGGCATGCACCACCATGCCTGGTTACAGGTACTTATAAAAAGTGGTTATTGATGAAGATGAGGACCCTGTAGCAGCTGCAACCTGCAGGCCACACTCCCCTCCAGCACGGGAAGACACAGCCTGGAATCCTGTGGCTCATGGACTCTGTTGTCACACCAAAGCTCCCAGCCTCCCAGAGCCTCGAGCTCCTTACTTGGAGAATGGGGCTGGTACCGGGACCTGCTGCTAGGGTATAGTGAGGGTTAAAACACCTTGTGTGGAGGGCGTGATGGACCACAGCTCGTAGTTAAGTGTAGGGTGAATGGTGGATGGTGATCACCTTTGCTGTCACAATGACCCATTTTACCCATTTATTACTCATTTACATGGGCTTCCACAGAAGTTCTTGTCTGAACCACAGAAGTGTGACTCCCAGAAGGTGACCCAGAACTGGCCTGACTGAAAGTATGAACTTTCAGGGTCAGGCCAGCTCCAAGACAAGTGTGCTGGGCCTCGGGGTTCTCCTCCAAGTCTTGCGGGAGTCCAGGCTCAGTAGCCTCTCATCCAGCTCTAGAGGTCTCACGGCTCTGCTCAGGGAGAGGCTGACAAACGTTAAAGTGGGCTGGCACTGCTGGGTATAGGGTGCAGGTGGGAAGCCCAGGAGAGCATGCCTGTGCCAGAGAGGGCTGATAAATGTCAGGGTTATAAACATCTCCTACTTGCTGCTGTGTGTTCAGTGGTAGACCTGGGGATTGAGGTGTGAGCACAGGAACTGCCTGCCTTGACCTCAGATGTCTTCCTCAGAGTGGGGAGGGGAAGTGTGTGCAATCTCCCTGGCCTGGGGCTGGGTCCACAGCAGGAGCATTCGCCCTCTGGGCAGCTTGGAGGGAACCCAGCCCAGCTCTGTAGCCCTGTACACTCCAGGGGCGCCCTCGTGCTGTGCATGTAGAGTGGCCCAGAGTACCCACTTCCCAGTTGCTCTTGTTTACCTCCCAGGCTTGATCTCCTAGGCATCTGGAGAGACAGAAACAACAAATTCTCTAGTAAACAAAACCGGAAACCAAAGTGGGGGAAGGCCCGGTGTCTTGCATTCAACTCGTGTTCCGAGTCCTCTGGGAAGTTGGAAAGAGGGGCAGGCACACAGGAGGTGCTAGAGAGGTAGAAAATGAATGAACTGAACTCCTGCTTCCCTCCAGGGCCCATTTGTTCATGCTTTGGATATGTTGAGCCCACTGCTGCCCGTTTGCCTGTGTTCACCACCTTGTTTTATCCTGAGAACCATTCAGAGGCCAGGTTCCCACCTGGCAGTGAAGCCATTTGAAAGGAAAGGGCTGCTGGTGCGTACAGCAAGGGTGCTAAGGGCAGGGAATTGGCTCCCAGATGCTGGAGCAGCCGAGGAGGGAATGGAACAGACAGCAGTGCAGAGATGGGCAATGGCACCGAGGCCTTGCACCAGGACAAGGGGTGCAGTCTCCCAGGCATCGGTCTGAGAGCTGAGGGTACAGAGAAGATATTGCTGGGGACACATGCCCAACAGAGAGGGCGTGGAGAAACAGCCCAGGCTTCCTTGCTCCACACTCAAACTGTGTTCCCCTTGGCCTCCCTATGTGGAAGCCTTCTGAGCTGGAGGCTTGACAAGAGTTGGTCCCCTACCGTAGAGAGGAAGGACTGAGGGACAGATCTCAAGGTGAACAAGTCAGGCACACATGCCACAGGTGTCCTGGAAGCCTGGCCCTGGGGTGACCTGCTTCTGCTGTTCCTCTCACGCTTACCCCTCCCTCAGCTCCCAGAGTACCAGTCCCGGGCTCTGGACTAGCCCTGTGTTCTGCTGGGTTCAGAGGACCCACAGCGGTCAGGCTCCTGAGCACAGGAAGAGTGGCCCTGCTCCACTCAGTTCCAGCTATCCCTAGGACACAGCATGACAGCCACCTCCAGCTCTGGGCCATTCCACAATCAGTCCAGCATGCTGCCTCCTCCACCTCCAGTGCTTCACAGTGTGCCCCAATGGGGAGACCTTTCCTGTCACCCCTGGTCCTGTCAACCTTGGCTCCAGTGCTGTCCTGAACTGCAAGTTTCTTCCTTATGAGTCCATCATTCCCAGGGCCTCAGGATGCTCTATGTGTCCCACCTACTGATCACTCCTACCCCCACTGACCTGTGCTCCCCTTCAGCCATCTGAGCAGTGGACCAACCCATAGCTGTCAGCTATCTCTGGTCCACCATCCTCCAGCTGTCCCCACCTGAACTACAATGGCTTGCTGGCATTGACAAGCTCACTAACACCTGTGCGTTACTTAGCTCAGGCCCCTGTGTCCTCATCTGTCCTGTGGTCCAGCAATACATGGTCTTGCTGGTAGTTTCCTCCCCCAAGGACAGTCTTTTCCCTGTCTCCCTACTTCCTTCATCATCGCCTCTTGGGTCACCTTAGTGGACTCTGGGTGTCCAGCCTTGTGCTGTTGGAGACCCTCAGCCCCATACTGAGCTTTTCTATTCCGTCTCTACCTAGGTCACCTCATATAGTTCCATGGTTTTGCAGACAAACCCCTTGCTCAAAGCTTCCATTTGCATTTTTCAACTTAGCCTGGATGCTTGGCTCCACGTTTGTTTCTACAACACAGGTGCTTGCCGATGCCTGGGGGCCACATCCCAGTATATCCATTGTAAGGCGAAAATATAGTAAGTGAAAACATGTTTAAGGACTGCGGATATCACTCAGGGGTAGAGCACTCGCTTAGCATGCATAAGACCCTGGGTTTGATTCCCCAGTACTGAAAAAAATGCATGCAATAAACCTAACCTGCTAAAAGGTGTAGCTTAGCAGCCCAGCAAACCAGGCTGTGGGTTGTTTTCCTCCAGGGAGCAGGTGACTGACTGGGAACTACAGCACCTCAAAAGAGGACCATACCACTTGCCACCATCCTTGGAAAAGCTCAAAACTCAAATTTTAATATATATTGTCTAGAGAATGAATATTGCTTTTGTACCACTGTAAAGTAGAAAAGTTACAAGACACCAAACCATGATTTATTTATGCAGATGAATGTCCAAGTAGGCATCTAAAGCCACCATGGCCAAAGCAGAGCTCTTCCTGCACCCATCACCTCCCAGGACAGCGAACTTTGCACCCTGTCGTTACCAGTCAAGACACCTGGAGGAATCCAACTATCCCCCTCTCTATGGCCACTGCCATTGTTCCTGTCCTGGCCATGTTACTTCCCTCGCTGACTGATGGAATAGCTTCTGGTTTGTCCCTTCTCGCCTATTCACTCAGTGACCAGAGGAGATGAGTCAGGGCACATCATTACCTCCTTCACCGCCCTGGCTCACCATCACACCCAGGTGTTTCCCCAGTCACCCGAAGATGTGGCCCTGCTCCCCACGTGCACAGATGGACTTCTACAGAACCAAGGAATTGACCATCCTGTTTCCAACAATATCTCCAGCACATGGTAGGCTTTAATACATGTTTGTTAAGGGAGTGAATTCTTACCCATTGCAAGGATGACAAAACAGAGTTTCAAGAGAAGGCTGCCATTGTGGTGGCTCCCCAGCTGGCTAAGCTCACCCTCATGGCCTCTCGTCTCCATCTAGTCCACAGGGCTGGTGGCAGTGGCCATGGCCTGCTTGCTTGTGATTGGGTGAGGGGTCCTGGGGACAGGAAGCCCAGAGCCCCCTGCTATGCCCACAGACCCTTCCCATCCTGGTGACTGTCTGCCTGTGATGGATATTCAGCTTTGGGGTTTTTTTTCTTCTTTCCTCTCTTTCTCCCCACTGGGTCTTTTTAGGGAGTAATTACAGCCAAAAAGGACAATCTGTCTTTTTATTTTTAGGCTTTGACGATCAGACACCAGGCCCTGGACAGCGAGCGCTGCCGAGAATAGGTGGCTGACGCCCAAGCAGGGTTCTTTTGGGGCTGATGCGGAGCCGGCTGGCGGGTGGAGTTGATGGTGTTGATGCAAACACCCCTGCAGTGGGCTGGGGCGTGGGGAAAGCCTTTTTCAGGGATCAGGGATAGCTGACGTCTGGTCATTTCTGTTTTGTGACCTTAGGCAAATTTCCAGCCCAATCCGTGCTTCACTTTCTGGCCAGGAACAATGAAGAGCTGGGTTCCAGGGTGGAGGCCCTGGGCTGGACAGGAGGGGTTTTCCTGTCACCCATCCCTTGCTGAGAGACAACAGGAAGGAGGAGCTGATCCTGAAGAGACACCTGGATGGCCAGTCCTGCCTCTGATGAGTGATGGTCCTTCAGACCTTTCCTGTCCCCTCTACCTCTTCCGGTGGCCTTTGTGTTTTCATTGTCTCAAAGTTATATCTGGCCCATCCTTTCTCCTATGCTGTTCTCGCTTTTCTCTCCTATTGGCTGAGGACTCAGGGGACCAGACCACTGCCACAAGGGCAGACAAACAGGAGGTGCCGGCCCCGGCAGGCCCAGCTGTTTCCTGGGCTGTCCTGGCTGTCTTCCAGTGGCCCAAACCTGTCTTCCTCTGTGTGCTGCACCTGGCCATCTCAGGGACCCATCCACAGGGCCACTCACAGCCTCATTTATTTACTTAACATTTCAGGTTTAAATGAGTCTGGGCATCAGGGGCTGGGTCAGGACAGTGAGAAGATGAGCAGCCTCCTTTCTGATCTGGAAAAACAGCCACAATCACCAGAATCGGGCTGTGAGGTTTCGGAGAGACTTGGGTGCTGTGAGGACAAAGAGAGAAACAAGTGGAGCTGGGACACAAGTGGGGGTGGCCGTTTCTGACCTGGTGGCTGAGGACAGCCTCTTGGAGAGAGCACAAATGGCCAAGACCCACATGTTGGTGGAAGGTGGCTTAGGAACGTGGGATCCTGCAAACATTGGGAGAAATGCGCACCCCTCTACTCCTGGCGACCAGCTCTGGTGCCAAGAGGTGGCAAGGACACGCTGGTGGTGCAGACATGCTGGCCACTCCTCCTTGGAGCATGAGGTACTCAGCCTACATCATTCTGTCCCATTCAGGGACAAGGAAGTATCGGGAGCTTTAGAAAAAAATCTGAGCTAGAGTCCAAGACTTCACAGAGCAGAATCTTGCTGGAATGAATTGACTCCTGGGAGGAATTGGTCCCTATCTGTGATGGTGACTCCCTCTCTTTGCCCTTTGGGGATTCTGTTTATAATCCAAAAGGCCTGAGCTGGAAGCCTGCTCATGCAGGTTCCAATTCAGGCCACACAGCCAGTGAGGGATGGTGGGGACTTCCAGGTCTCCCTGCCCCAGTTTAGGGGCAGGTCCCTGGATTCAGCAGACAAAGGCTTAGGAGAATGGAAAGGGAGGAGCTCTGGGGAACATGACTCAGCTGTCGCCTCCAAGGACAGTTGGAACATTGGGTCACTGGGGCCAGCATGATGGGGAAGAGCTTGGAGATGGGACAGGCCACAATCCCATAGCCCCAGGCTTGTTGTGTCCTGGGGAGACTCCCTGATTCCCAGCTGCTGGGATTAATGAGAATTTATCTCTCAGGCAGGGTCTGGCCTCAGGCAGGGTCTGACCTCAGGGAGGGACAGAGTGGCTGGTGCATCAAGCCGAAGAAGGCGGCCCATGTGTGTTGGGGGTGAGGTGCTTAGTATGTTGGCTGTTGGGTCCCAATGTGGAGGGAGATGAGCAGAGGCCTGACCCAGCTTCCCACAGACAGGACCTGCTCATTTCTTCAGGATACTCAGGGAGCAAGGGGTTTTTTGCTCATGGGAACCCCCCCCACACACACACACCAACACAGCAGTATGAAGGCCTTTCAGTTTGCAAGATTGTTGCCGCTCACTAGCAGCTGTGTCTCTGACAAGGTGCCTATCCCATGCTGTCACAGAACCGCATGTGGGCAGGGAGGGTACACACACCCGTGAGCAGGGCTGGACAGTTAGACTCCAGAGTGAGGAGGAACCCACAGGTGGCATCCCATCCTCACCTGCTGTACTCACTTCAGAAATCCCCTCCACACTGTCTCTGACCTCCGTCTCCCAGGATGAGTCACTTGCCTCCTGTGACAGGAAACATGATCCCTCCACAGGCAGCTGCTACCTGGTGGGAAGTGCTAAGGTCAGAAGGGGCTTCCTTCCACCTCTCACAGCCCAGCCCACCGGAGGGGACAGGATCACTGCAGCCAGCCTTGTCCAGGGAACTCCTGCCACGTGAATCCTGTCTCCCCAGTGAGATGGGAGTCTCCCCAGGACAGAGGCCCCTTTTTGACACTGAGCAGTAGAGGAAAAGTGCTCTGAAGGGAGCGTAGCCCATGGTAAGAAACTGTCAGCTGTTCTCATAAGAGACACTGTTCTCCCTGCCCCGTCACCATCTGCCATAGCTGAGAGTGTGCCTCCCGCTGGCAGGCAGCAGCACAGGGCACAGGGCACAGGGCACAGGGCTGCAGGGTCTTTGCCTCGGGCACCACTACGAGCATTTAAGTGCGAAACTCTGGTCAAGTCCTCACTTTACAGGTGAATAAACTGAAGCAGAGAGAGAAAATAATTGAGATTGTACAGTGGCAGAGACAGGCAGTCCGTGTTAGTCTGTGCTCCCAACAACCCAACTACCTCGGGCACTCCTGAGAAAGATTTGACCTCGGGGGTCCACGTGACACAAGGGTGCATCCTGGAGACCTGCTCCCCGGCCAGATATCTTAGGGCTGTTGGGAGTTGAGATGTCACTGGACCCATTTTCCTGTCCCCAGGTGTCCTGGAAGTCCAAAAGTGGCTTTTTGCACACGGTGACTTTGTCTCATGTCCCCTGTCCTTCTGGCGAGCTGTGAATGGGAGGAGCTTCAGATGAGAACACATCAGTGTCATTCCTAGGAGAGGAGACCAAGAACAGAGGCAGTCCAGCTCGGGACACATGCCCCCATCACTGTGACCGCGCATCTCGCCTGCAGTCACTGCCATGTTGATGCCATCAGCAGCCCCCGACCACGCACACGCGCACATGCACAAGTGCACACGATATTAAAGTCGTATTTTTGGTTGCTGGGAAGGTTCGGTTGTCATTTCCTCTGCCCTCGGCAACCCGCTGGCCCAGCTCCCCTTTTTCTTCCCCGCCCCACTGTGGAGCACCATCCATTTGTATTTATATAGATAAATCGGCCTGCTAATTAAAGTTCTGTTGCTGGAGAGTGAGGGAATTAATAAAAGAACTTGGAAGGGAGCCAACTGAATGCTGGGGCGCAGGGAGCCGGAGCTGAACCCACAGCAGCAAAGGAGGCCAGAGGGTCCAGTGCATGTGGGAGCCGCCCTACCTCCCCCAGGAGCCCAGGGCTCAGGGCCCAGGAATGAGGACACGGCACCACACGATGAGCTCTTTCCTTCCTTCCTTCCTTCCTTCCTTCCTTCCCTCACGGTGTTTCCTGCTGGGATGCCCCGTGTGTTTTCTCTTACCCTCAGGAGGTGGCTGCAGGCCAAGCAGAGGTAGTGGGAGGAGGTTTGATTGACAGCAACCAGGAGGACCATCATGGCAGTGCTTCGGGGTAAGAGGCAGCCAGGGGCTGAGACTCAGTCACAGAACACCCACCTGTGCGTCCTGACTCTGCCACTTATAGCTGGTGGCTCTGGATAAGTCATTTAACCACTGTGTGCCTGAATTTACATCTGTAGCTATCAGGGGCAGAGGCTAGGATAGGACCAAAAGAGGACACTAAGACTGCAGCTGAGCAGGGGGGAAAGGAGGGAAGAGAAGGGACTTCGCATTACTCCCAGGAAAGGAACGATCCTGGGCTAAGTCCTGGCTGCTCTGTTGAGCAGCTGTGGGACCCCAGGAGACCCTCCTACCTTCTCTGACTCAACTGCCACAGCCGAGGCACAGAGCTCCTGCTCGCAGGGCCTCAGATAGCCTGGCATGCACAGGGCACACTCAGAGGTGTCATGGAAACAAGAGCTCAAGACAGGTTTTTCTGGGTCGCTGAGCCCTCCTTTGCTTCTCCCCTAGGCCGTTTGGGCTTCAGAGATGGGCTGCAGACAGCAAACCCTAGTGTTAAGGCAGTGCACTGGTCTGAGGAGAGCAGGAGCGGCCAGCGCTATTCTTAGCCAGGGTCCCATCACGTGTGGACAAGCTTGTCACGAGCGAGGAGGAAAGAAGGGAGGAGCTGCTGGGTTTAACCCTGAACTGGCCAGGATGCCGCAAAGACCTGGAGAAGAGCTCATTGCTCCTAGGGGAAGAGGGCGTGGCTACGCTGCAGGGCCTGTCAGACAGGCCACTCTCAGGGACACTCATGATGGACACCCATCTTTGTTATTGGTGGATGCAATAACAAAGACCCAGGAAGGCTCAGCCTGTCACTCTAGGAGGATATGCACAGAATCCTGGGAGGAATTAGGAGACCAAATTCAGTCCTGTATCTACCACACATGTGCTGTGTGACTGGGGAACAGGCAGAGCCCTTCTTTGGCCCTTGGTCTTCAAATAAGACACAACTCTGTGAACCCTCTGTTTCTGCATTTGGTGACCTGGATGCCACAGCTTGGACTCCAACAAGGCCCTCAGCCCTGGATGAACTCATGTCTCCTGCAGGCTTCCCAGGATCCTGCTTTTTCCCCATGTGCCCTGTGTGTACTACCTAGTTTTAAGGGACTAGGACATGGGATTGACTCTTCTGGTGGCACTGGATGGGATGAATCAAGATGGAAAGCTGAGGTCACCTGGACAAGGAAGAGCAGGCCCAGGAGCTACACAGGCTGAGCGCCTGTGTGGGCAGCAAGCACCTGTGTGGACACCCATGAGCTGCTCCCTGCAACTGGCTGGAGTCTCCGCCTCTGTATGTCCCAGTCTCGGGGGCCCAGTGGAGCTGTCATTCCTGAAGGCCAGGCACCACGCTCTCTCCTCCTGTTACCTCAGGATGCACCCAGCAGGGTCCCCTTGGGCTCAGCCAGGGCCTGCTCAGGGTTCAGCCATGCAGCAGAGCCAACCCTGAACCAGTCTCCACTCACCAGCCCTGGTCTTGTGAGTCACTTGTTTCCTTTGTAATTAATCACTCCTGGTCTCCAGTGGTGACGTTCCCTCCCCCAGACCATTTGCCTAAAGAAATGAATTGCATTGATGAGAAAAACCAAATGCTTCCGGTCCTATTTCTCTATTTCCTGTCTCTTCTTCCCAGGCCCTCAGAGACAGTGAGGGGCTGGGACCCTCTCTCGACAAAGGAGAGGAGGCACTGGACTGCAGGGAGACCAGCCTCAGTTTCCCTATGTTGGTCTAGTCAAGTAACTTCCACTGGGTCCTGACAGAAGAAAGTGTCTTAAGGCTCTGGTAGGAGTGAAAGTAGAGGGCTGATGAAGCCCAGGCCCTTCCGCATTGTAACTCCTGGAACTCACTGACACTCAGTGTTCCCATCTGTAAAGTGGGATGAGAGTGTCTTTACCTTTAGCATTGTCAAAGAATCCACAAGGACCTTGCAAATAGAACACTCAGCAGAGTCTGGCACCTAGGATGGGCCTCAGAAATCCTAGCTAATATTTATTATTTTTATTTATCTGGATCTCCTGTGTTGCAGTGGGGATTCAAGAAATTGAGAAAGAAAGCTTCTCAGGGTGGCCTTGAATTGATTCTAATTTACTTTTTAGAAGTAAACTCTATGCCAGCTCTGTTGTCCTGCTGTTGTGAGTGTCACTCAGAGCTCCTCCGGTGAGGGCCACACAGCTCCCCCAACCCATCAGAGATCCAGAGGTTGTGAGTCACAGCTGTGGAAAGGAATCTCTGGCCACCAGTCCCAGATCCACAGTCTTGCGTCTCCCCTGGGCCTATGTTGTATTAAGTCTGGGGTCCAGCCGTGGGGCCTGATCTGCCGCGGAGCAGGCTGCCGGACAGAAGTACTAGTCCTAAGCTGAAAGGCAGGCAGCTGGGCTAGTGCTATGCTGGGATTCTGCCCTTGCGCCTTCCTGCTCTGAGCCCCAGGTGTCCCTTGTACCCGGGGTCCCAGGTTGGAGTCTCTGGGTGCTTTAGCTCCCAGAGCCTGACCAGAGCTGGGCCAGCTGAAGAAAAAGATGCAGAGGCATTAGAGCTGGGCCAGAAGATATTCGGACAGACACATTTCTGCTGAGGAGTTGGGTCTTCGCTGGTCCTGCCCACGAGGGGCCCCGCGAGCTGCTGTGGGATCAGGGCTCTGGGTCAGGTCCCTGCACATGTCTTGGCTCTGTGGGGCCCCCTCTGCTGCTCTGCTCCTCTGTTCTCCTGTCTCTAGCTGGGTAAGTCAGACTATAGCTGCCATTCGATCCTGTCTGGTAGAAGCAGCGGAGGAGTTACAGCAGCAGGACAGAAGAACAGGGGCACAGGCTGCAGACAGAGACAGCCGGAGAGGTGGGCACAGCCTGGCAGGCAGGAGCTCCGCCTTTCTTGCTTGTAGCGTGCAGCGGTTCCTCACCTTCTTCAGCGCAGTCCAGGAAGGCATGACAGTGGCCTCAGCTTTTTAGCAGGGACCCTCTGCCCCTGGAGGAGCCTTCAGAACCATCTTACACAATGTGATAGCATGGCTGCCACCTTCAGTTGGGCAGGTCGTTCTCTGTACAAGGGTGCTGGCGAAGGAACAATGGCATGGCTGCAATCCAGTCTCATTCTGCTCACCAAGCTGTGTTCCCCTGCCTGGCGCTGGATCTGCCTGGAGCACAAAGGTACCACGTGGGCCAGTGGTGCCGACCAGGGGCTATCCACCACCTCCCTCGGTCCAAACTTGTCATCCTTCAAGGGCTGTGGGATTGGTGAGTGGTTGAGAAAATCGATGCATTGCAAGTGCTCTGCACGTCTTGAAGATAAGCTTTGTGACAGACAATGAGAAAGGCCAGAGGTGTCTGGCTCTGGTGTGGGTGTGTGACCTGAGGACACCGGCATCTCCACCTACCCTCCCGCTCAACCTGGGTCACAGCTGTGCTGTCCTCATTCCTGAGCACCTCCTGTCTCCCCTGGCGACCGAGGATCCCGAAGATCTCTCCATGTTTCCTGCCACTGGGTGGGTATGTCTGTGCATTCCCTTTGTCGCTCCCCTCCAGTCTGTCCCCGCTACACGAATGCAGGGACCCAAGAGCATATACCCAGTGCTGCACCAGGAATAACAGATCCAGGCTCACAGCCTGGCTCAGCCCCAGCCTGCAGTTGCAGTCCGTGCCTTCTGCCCCTCCCAGACCTCAGTTTCTCCATGTGCAAAGTGAGGCACTGGCAGAGACTGGCGGTCAGAATCTGTGGCCATGACGCAGAGCCCCCAGGCCCTTTGTCTCTGAAGGAGCTGAGATAAAACGGAGCCTAATCTGCACAGGGAGACAGGTTCTCTGCCCAAGAGGATGAGGGTACAAATTGGGCCGTCACGTTACATTACTTCTGCCAAGTTGGGCCCCATCATCTCACCTCCGACAGGGACAGCCAGAGGCCGACGCTCAGTGGGGGCAGGAAGCCTGGGCCCCCACCCCGCCTCCTGACTTCACCATCAAAGGCCATGAGCGAGGGAGGGGTCCCAGCCAGGGAGGATTTTTAATGACCCCAAATCCTGGCAACTCATTACGCCTCTGATAAGGCAATGGTAGCTGTCACTCCCAGATGCTGCCAAGGACTCCCCAGAGAAATTTTGCTGCCTTCTTGCTAATCTTCTTATAAACATTGTTATTTATTTTTTCTTATTTTATCCGACATGTGTCAAGCAGCCCCTGCTAAGCCTGCAACATCTCTAGGGAGGCTGGAGGAGGTTGACCAGCCGTTCCCCCTGCCCTTCCCCTCGCCAGTTCTGGGCAGCTTGGCTACCATTGGCCTGGGCAACTTTGTGATGCCCACTGGAGCTGGGCTGGAGCCAGCAGAGGATGGAGCTTGCTGTTTGTTAGTTAGTGGATTTCTGGCTGTGCTAACTTAGGTTGGCTCGGTGAGGGAAGGTTTACAGCCCTGGCATCACACGGACCAACCAGCTTACTCTGGGTGGGCTCGGTGAAACCCCATCATAGCCATCACTGTGTGTGTCATCGAAGACACCACCCTGTCTGAGCCGCCATACCCAGTGTCATTCACACCTTAGGTCTCCTTCATTGTGCATGACGCCAGTCCCATTTGTAGATGAGGAAACGGGGAGGCAGTGTCCAAGCAGGAAGGGGCAGGTTTTATGCTCTGCTATCCAATGCCCAGCCAGTGCCAAGTTGTCCTCACACTTCCCTTGACTCCTCTGAACACTCCAGGAATCTGGGAAAAGACGCAAAGCCCAGAGTCTTCTCCCTGTTTCACAGATGAAGAAATAGGCTTGGGGAGGCACACACTTGCCTAGGGCTCCACTGCGGGGACCAGGACCCACGTCTCCTGGCTTCTGGGCAGAGTTCTTTCTGAAAGTCTTAGGGCAGTTGCTGGACAGCATTTCCAGGATTTCATCATGTGTAATGCAGTGCTGAGATCTAGGGGACCTCTGTCCTGCTGTCCCTCTGTTATAGGGGCTGGGACAGTATTGGGAGAATGGGGAGACCACAGAACTTTCATAGGTACAGAGAAAATTCCAAAAGGTCCAGAAGACTCTCTCTCACCTCTAGTCCCTGACAATGATTATGATAAGCCTCATGGCTCTCTCACAATGAGATTGTTACTAATCAAGTAGGCTATAAAACAATACACATCAGGAGCCCATTTTGGTGATATAGAGTTATATTATACAATGCATACAGAGGAAGCTAAAGATTGGATTTGCTGTTTGCAAAACTGCCTTGACTTTTCACAGCCCTCTCTGCCTAAGATCAGTGTTTCAATAGTTTGGGCATCCTGAACCCAGAATAAGGTACATGTTTCTTAATAATGCTTTACTTTTAAATAACTAAGTTTCCAGAAGAGTTCAGAGATAACACAGAGAGTTTCCATGCAATGCACAGCTCAATTAGAATGCACAATAATTGACACCTTGTACAGCATCCAACCTCCCCTATCTTTCTGTTGGTCAAACCCCATGGACTTGCATCACATCATATTGGGGTCCATATAAGGTGAAGGTACTTATAAATGCTGCCCTTGGTGGCTTGTTTAAGGTGGCACCGTCTAGGTTTCTCCATTACATTAGAAGTGAGTTGCTAAGTCTGGCCCATAGTTGGAAAGAATGAAGCTTTACCTCTACTTCCTCATCTGTGAGTTCATGGACAGATGTGTAAACCACTGCAGTGATTAGTACATTTGGGGGAGATCCTTTGCAGCTATGCATGATCCGGCTTCTCCTTAAGTTTCACTCACTACTTAGAACACCCATCGTCACGTCCTGCCTGGAGCGGTTCTTATCTTGGTGCCCTCATGGTGGACTGTTATTTCTTGTTCCTTCTACTTTATTTATTGGAGTTCAATACCCTGATCATTGATTGTGCTGCTCACGTTGTTCTAGCTTTGGCCATTGGAAACCTATAGTTCACCTGCTCTGTTCTGTTCTGTTGACACAGGCCCCATATTTTTTATTTTTGGATATAAGGTGATTGTGGTGGGATTTTTCTTGTTATTTTGTTTTGGGTTTTGGTACCACCTTATGTCCTGGTACCATAAAATGCTCCAGGTTTATGGAGTAGAAGCTCAGCCCAGTCCTCAAAGCTGCCACTTCCCCATGGAGCCCTGACTCCTCTTATTGGCAAATGATTTTTAGAAATCATAGATGGACTATATTTTTTAATACAACTTTTACACCAAAAAATATCTGGAAATGAAGTGACGTCATGGGTAATCAGGTGTCCTTGTGCATTGGACACATTTATGTAAATACAGCAGCATGTCCAAGTCCCACTCGAGCTCTCAGCCATGAAATGACTACAAGGTCGCTGCCGGGGTGAGGGAGGTTCCATTCTATAGCACAGGTATTACAGCGCTGGTCTCCACTTAGCCTCTGCTACCAAATCCAACTTCTCATCTGTGCACTCAGGATATGCAAGCCAAAAATTTAGTATGTCTCCAAAATGTCAACGAACCATATGGGAAATATTAAACTGTGATTTAACAATTCTCCCCAAGTTTTGCTCAATTATAAATTTAATATTCTTGACATTTTCCTTGACTCTTAGGAAGCTTCTGAGACTCCAGAGACAGGGGAGAGAGCCCCAGAAGCAAGGATGTGACCACAGAAGACCTGAAGCCAT